AGAAAAAGAAAAGAAATTGTAAAATATCAATGCTGATATGACAGTGGCAATATATGCTATGAAGTTTTTTATGAAAACTTCAAGGAGAATGCAGATCTTGTCCCATTCACCAGTGAAAGCCCTTTCTCAAAGTCCTACTTTCATTTAGAGAAAAATTTTTGTGCAAAACCAGCTAGTGGTGAGAACCTAATAGGCCACTGGCCTTTGCAATCGCCCTGCCCATCTGATCCAGTTTCTGTGTTTCCAGTATCTGAATCAGTGGTGAGAAATTAAATTCCACATTATATTTTTTTTCAGTCATGACCAAGGATTTTGAAGTGTGTGTCAGAGGCTAAACTTAATTTCCTGATGTATCACCATGAAGTAATGTGACAAAGTGGTGGTGTTGAAGACTGAGGTTAAAATGACACAATTCCCTCCTCTTCCAATATACAAAAGAAAAGAGAAACAAGGGAAATGCAGTACTATTTTCTTAGTAATTTAACTAATAGTCTTGTTGTCTTAAATTTAGACACTGATAATTTCTAGAGTAATGTTATTAAGTTTTCCATACTGTGAGCTGCCCTGCAAAAAGTTCTCCAGATTCTCAAGGCCAGGTGGTGGTGGCTGAAGGTGAGCCAGCTGAGCAGGAGGCTCCCCTAAGGGAGCTCTCAGATGATCCACTGCTGCTTTTCAGGGAACAAGCATGCACCCAACATACCCAGCTGCCCAGCTTCCACAGTGCAGGGCAAACATCACAATGACTTCTGTTGCTCTTGAGAGCTCAGATGGCGAAAGTCTTGATTTTCAACAGCAAAATCCTCTCTTGTAGTGTCAGTAACACAGAGGAGTTTACTGTGTCACTTCTCTCTTCGTCATCTGTAAATATTCTGAGGTCTAAAAGTAAAAAGAATAATAGGTTTTAGTTACTAAAAAAAGATATTAACAGTAACAGACTATTTTTTGCAAGAGTGAACCTGTCTCTCTATGAAGTAAGAAATCATTGGGTTAAGTTTCTCAGTGGTCTCATGGTTTGTGATTCTGATTAATAAAATATACTTTCTTGCAACTGTGTCTTCTTCAGCTAAATATGTTTTTGAATTTTGAAAAAGATAGGGCATTTCAAATTTTGCTTTTCTTCTGCAGTACTACCATTAAATCTTTTTTTTTTTTTTTTGGTCATGGCTCATGCATCTATACATAGCAAAAATTGGATCTATAACTCCCATGATATTTTCTATAGATCAGAACCAGCACCTTTTGGAAATGTACTCTATAAGGACTTGTTTAAAATAAGGTATTTGTTCTTGAAAGCTAACTTTACCATTGCCCTGGCCTTTAACGACTTTGACTTAGAAATTAGCATTGCAGAGTTCAGAGAACATGCTTTCCTCAAAAATATTTTCTTAAGATGCTGTGATGGCTTCAGCAACTGCTGGTTTGGGCCATTTCATTTAAAATTAATCACTTGTGGAGTTTTCAGCAAGTACATTTCACAAAGGACATGCTTGAGTCTTATTTGTTTGTGTATGAAAGTAGACATACTTTCTCCTCCATATTTCTTTAAAGGAGTTGAAAGTCTGTTTTATTTTTGAACTTGAGTAAGATCTTGTGAATTTTACTGCCTTTATCTGGGTAGGTGCTGACATTTAAGAAATCTCACTGTTGGCTTTCAGGCTCTGTGTCTAAAAAAACCCCATTTTCAAAGGTTTTCTACTTGTGCTAGCTTTAATTTATTATTACAAGTTATCACTTTGCCTTGTCCAGTGCTATTTGATTTAAAAATTTGTATGAAAATTGAAGCTTCTTCTGGGATTTCAAAATTCAGTTGGCAATTTGACTTCTGCACCCTACAGATTTAATAGTCAGCTTGCCTTTTAGCTTCTTACTAGAAGTGAGACTGGGAAACCTGGAGAACTTACCTTGAGAATCTGCATTGAAAATGTTATTACTGGGGCTTTGTTGTCACACATTAAACAGTATAAAAAACTGAATATCTGACACAGCCAACATTTTCTAGTTTGGATTGCTGAAGTTTTCCTTTCCAGAAGAGTCCAATACCGAGGTAGTGGCTCCATGAAATTTATATCATCTGTTGAGATTGTCTTTTTGATGGATTCCTGGTAATAAGGCAGATTCAGGTTTGAAAGTTAAAGATTTTTAATCCTATAAGTGTTAGGATTTTTTAACAAATAATGAAGTTTATAGTCTTGAATCATAATTCCTATAGATGTGAAGTGTGGTATATGAAAAATGACATGAATTTACTGATCACCAGGTTTTTCAAAGCTAGGACTCATGGGAAATATTGTTTTCCTGTTTTCACCTGTATTGATGCCTTGCTTTTCTTCCTCTAAGATAAGAAAATAGAATAATAGTTTTGCTTTTAGAAACACATTTACATAAGTAATAAATCTTAGAAAAGGGCACAGGAATGATTGAATGAAACCATCTTGTTGATTAGACATTAAAAGTAGTAGCTAAAAGAATACCCAGCAAGCTTTACAAGATAATACCTTTATTATTCTTTTAGGACTAGTTTTGGCCCCAAGATCTCCCAAAGAAATATGAACTGATAAATTTTTCCCTTGTGATATGACCAATTACTTTCAACTTTGTTTTACTTGAAGAGCCTTCACACTAAAAGGAGAGTGTTCATGTTGATGCTTATTCGTCTGGGCTTTTGTCATTAACGTCACGCATCTGAAATCATCAGCATTTGAATAAAATAGCTGGCTTAAGGTGCTGTTCAGGCTTTCAAGTGCCAGGGGAGTGGCTTCAGTGTAAAATGTGAATAGAGCAGCAATGAACTTTCAGAATCAGGTGGTGCAGTTGTTATGAAACCCCACTTCCCACTATTAGTTATAATAGCCAAAAGACAGTGCAACATATGGAGGAGAAATTTCTGATGTGTAGACCATGTATGCAAATGTGATGCCAGGAGCTGAGGACTGAGGAATATGGCATGTCACTGTAGGAGAGTTTTCAAAAGAAGCAAAAAGGAAAGAAGTATTTGAAGGTGAGATAAATAGAATAGGAAATTTCTTCCTATATGATACCTCAGAGATTTGAAGGAAGACAAAGTTAAGAATCAGTATTCAAAAGTGTCATGATGTTTTTCTAATTTTTTTCTCTGATCTTTGAAGATTTAGGAAAATATTTAGGGCTCACTAACTTATCTAGTCAGCTGACACAAAAATATAGCTTTGCTTGGAACTGCATCATTAAGTCTATGAAGTTTTGTCTTACACTAAGCTAAAATTCTTCCTTCAGCATCGGCCTTGTAAAGTTCATATGTATAAATAAGGGACTGAAATTGTATTTATAAAATTACATAAAAATAGAATAAAAGTAGAGTATTTTGAGGCAGGAATATCTGTCTGAAACATTTCGTACTCCTCCAACAGCATGCAAATGTAAATTGCCTCATTTAAGGAATAAAGCCATGTAAATGCTATGAGAAATGGTACCTCTGAAGTTTAATAACTATCAAAATTTAGACATGTAACATAGTAATGAAAATGTCTGCTCTGGAGATGGTTGTAAAATCTACACAGATTTTCACTTATATGTGATCAATTTAGTAATGCATATACACACAGTTATGATATTATCAACAAGGCTTTGTAAAATACATGATAAAACTATTCACTATGTGTAATAAAAAAAAGGCTACAGAACTATATTCTTTAAAATTAAGAAAGCAAGGAGAAGTAAATTTCCTTTCTTCTCTGAAATGCCTTTTTAAAGTATCATTTTCATTGCCTTAGGAAAACCAAAGGAAATGCACTATGCAAAGTACAGAAAGAAATTTGAATCTAGGGAGAGACAGGGGAAATGTGCTCCATATTCTAATGTTATGTATTATTGTATATTCAAGAGATTTTATTGTTTTGATTTAGTTTATATTTGTGGAAGTTTTGTAGATTTTTATAATTGTTTTAAATTTAAGGTTTATGAAAGAATTTCATTATTATGTTTGCTGGGAAATGGCTGAACATCATAAATATTGATTCTATAAGGAAATATTACATGACATGTCTCTCTGTCACACTGCTTGTCTGAACTGGAGCCATCATGAAACACAAAAAACATGCATGTAACATCTCATCAGTGTTTCACTACATTTTCCCTTTAAGACAATTTTGTTATTTAAAGTTGTTAAATCATGAATGTAGGGGTTTTTTTTCATCTGCAGCACTGCTTCGTAATTTATTTTGTAATTTGTGCTCTCAATGGGTGAAGTTCAACTGTAGCTTTCAATCTGAAAAACAAGGCTTGTGACATAAAGTGAGAAGTGTAATAGAAGTGCATACCCAAGAGGAGCAGATGGATTAGGAATTAGGAGGTGAGCTTTGAAGGGTACTCAGTACAAAAAGCAGCAAGAAATTTGGTATGAAAGGTGTTAAGAAGTGAGTAACAGCACTGGACCTTAAAACAAGACAGGAAATTAGATAGAAAGAAATGGATAGGCAGTAAATGAAGGGATATGGAAGAAGAGAGACAGGATTAGTGAGGAAAGAGCTTAAGCACGAAGGGAAAAATGAATTCTGCCAAGAGCTTAGCCATGAGGTGGAGTTTGATACATTGGTAGTACATGTATGGGTAACTGAATATGCTTTTACTGATAACTCATTTTTAAGGGGTGAAAAACTTAATATTAGCTTTATAAAGTGTTTGTTTTGCTGTGTAAATTTTGCAGCAGTGTAATTTTTAAAATGCAGACTATTATCATATATGTAATTTTTAAAATGCAGACTATTATTATACACTTAGTGCACTTCTATTACTTTTTCTAAATCTTAGCCTAAAGAAAGAATGAGTGCTATGTTTCTCTGCTAAAGCAAAGCTAAAAAATAGAAGCTAAAATAAAATAAAACTGTCACGGGATTTTTTTCTAGCCAATCTGAACAAAAAGTGTAGATCTCTTCCATGGAAGAACAATATGAATTGCCTCAGGGATCTGAAGAATAGGAAGAGAAAACTTACTAATATAAAAATGCCTGTTGTTTTGTTTCTAGGTTCAGACATTGTTCAATGGTTAACGAAGAACTTATCTATAGAAGACCCAGGTAATTTGTTTTGTTTTCATGTCTGTAAATTCTAATTTGTTTTTTTAAATTATTGGCCCTGCCTTCATTTTCTGTTGCAGTGGGGGTGGCCAGGCAGCCTTTGACCAGTATAATTTCAGTAGCAAAACAGACATCATCAAACCTAAGAAACGTTTTCTAAGAATCTGAGAGTTTTGATTATCCATTGTACTGGAGGAGGTGGCAGGAAGAAATATGGTGGACAAGAATGAAAAGAACAGTTGCTTTGCTTAGTAGAAAATGCATTCAAGTCTATGAGTAATTTACTCAGTGTCATGCTAAATAGTTCATTAAATACATTCTGTTTTCTTACAGAATTTTTCAATATATAAAAAACAAATAATAAAATACATTCTTGTGTTGTTACCGAATGCTAATCTTAAATTTGGACACGTTTATGGCATCTTAAATGGAAAATGAAATGGAAATAAGAGTGGTGAGGAAGAACAGTTCATTGCTTGATCAGCTGGGTTGGGATGTGGAAATAAAGCTTTGGTTTCAAACTCTGCCACAGGTTTCCTGTGTGGCCAGCAAGAAACACAGTTTTGTGTATATCTGATATTTATTCCCCTGATCTACAAGAATCTTGTTACCTGATCAAAAATTTTCCATAAAGGAATTATTTCTAGTAAAGAAGGCTGAATGGTAGAATTAAAGTATTCCTATGACATGTGGAAATTCTTATTATCTTTAGGTTAGAAGAAAGATAATCTTCATTCTTTAAAGAAGATTAAAAAATACTTTTTTCTGGCTCTGTTTCAGAGTTTTGGAAATGGAATTTCTGTTTTAGTTTGGGTTTTGTTTGCTGTTTTTTATTTGATTTGATTTTAAAAATGTATTTTTCTGTCATATTAGAAATGAAAGTATGATCATTGTAGAATTCCAGCAAAAGGCAAATCAATGTGTTTAAAATAGCTCCTAATTCCTCAAGTCACAATCAATACATAATGTGATATTTGCAAGTTCACAACCTTTTGATTTGTTACGTGACAATCACCAAATATTTTTAGTTTTATGTAACTTTAAACAGTGTCATGTTTGCTTCCTGAAGATAAAATGAAGGTTGCCAGAGACATAAGTGTGCTACTGTATTTCTCAGTTGCCAGCTACAAAACACTCACCTATCTGTATCTGAGTTTAAAAGATTGCTGTTCTGTGTTTATTTGATACGGAAGCTTTAACATTTATTTGTCAAAACAGAACTACAGTATTGGGATAGGCTGTCATTCAGATTACCTGGCTGTTGCAAAATAGGGAAGAGAAAAAAAACCTTATACTAAACAAAACCCAGTCCTGTGGTTCCTTATGTTCATATCCAATTAAAATTTAACAAGCACACAAACTACCAACATATGTAACCAGAACACCACAATAATTTAATTTAAGCTGGGTTTTGTCCTCCAAGATTGTATGGATGGAAAAACACTATCCATAATGACAAAAATGTCTTATGTGTATTGGTCCTAGTCCAAACTCAGCTATCTGGAGCTGGCCGAATGCAAATCTTCAGGAAGCAAATAGCCCTGAATGCTTTCTTTGGGTAATGCTCAGAATTGCCAGATAGCAGAGAACCTGACAGATGGTGAGTAAGAGCCATTCACGTGACAAAACTTCTGAAAATGTTCTGTTTTGTAAAATCTTTAGGCATGTGGCTTTTTGTTCCAGTTCTAGAGAACACAATGTAGAATTTCCTGTGGAAAAGCCCTTAATTTCTGTGATCTGTTGTCACCATAATTTGGGTTTCCAGTATCTTCTGTCCGCTTTTAACCAATGTGTCAGGGGCTTATTTGGCTCTTTTAAAACTCCCCCATAAGGTTCCATTACAAAGTCCTTGTGAAGCTAAGAAGTTTTGGGATGCAGAAATAAATAATGCCTCAGTTTGCACTGAAAGTTATCATCTCCATCTGATTCCGATATCAGCCCTATACTTGTAAGAACAAGATAAAGTAGACCTTGGATCATGTATTTTAAGAGTATATTCTACTCTGTCCAGAAAAATATAAGGATCATTTGCATACCTCATCTACCAGTACTGGGAAATACTCATGCAAGGAAGGCATGCAAATTGTGATTTAAGGGGTAAGTAGACAGATTCACAGAATCATAGAACAGCCCAGGTTTGAAGGGACCTCAAAAGGTCATGTGGTCCCAACTTTCATGGGAAAGTGAGCCTGAATGAGATTATCTAGCACTCTGTCCAGGCTCATCTTGAACGCCTCCAATGATGGGGAGTCCACCACATCCCTGTGGAGATTGATTGTTCTCACTGCACAAAAATTCATTCTTATACCAAGATGAAACCACTTTCTGTGCCTCATCCTCTGCCTTATCTACTGCCCCTTATCCTCTCAGTGTGGCTCCTTGTGAAGAGAATCTCCATCTTTAAGTACCGGAAAACTTTGGTGAGGTCCCACCCCGAGCCTTCTGTTCTCCAGGATGAAAACACCTGACTCCTTCAATCAACTTGTTCTTTAATAAAACAGAGAACTAGTAAGAAGGAAGTGACATTATTGACACTACCACACATGATTTAAAAAAAAAGTCATATTTTGTAGTGCAGGTTTTTTCCTTTGTTTTGCACAGGGAATACAACTCCAATACCATTTAAGTGGGAATGAAGTAGTCTGCTTTATGGATAGTGAGAAAAAATAAAGCAGAAGAAGGTCTGACAGCAACATTTGCTTTCACTATAAAGCTTTCATCTGGAGACAGCAATTTCCAGTAAAAAATGGTTACAAGTTGGAACTTGTAAACTGCCAGTCAATAAATCCCTGCAAATTTTTCATAAATGGAAAATAATTTTCAGAGGAAGATTTGTAAGAGTTTGGCTTGCTGCAGTAAATCTTCATCAAGAAAATAAAGTGGAGGTGATAGGTGGATTCTGCTAAAGTATACCAGATTTGAAGTTATTTCCATGGAGCAGAGTAGAGCTTGTGCCCAGAATAGCTGGACACAAGGCAACCTACGGTTGCTGTTGTATTGTTTGCTTTTCAATATGTACTTAAAAATATTTGTGTTCAGCCTACGACTCATCTGTAAAATTTTGAGTAACAGAAACTGTTTAAGTTATTTTTAATGTGGAAGTTTAATTCAGTCATAAATATATAAGCATGATGTCAACCTGAAAAGAAGCAATTAACTGAGTTTAAGGGTTTGTGGTTTGGCATTTAGATACGTGTTTGTTGAACTGACCATTACAGAGTAAGTGCTGACTCTTCACTGATGGTGCCAATTACTCTTAATGTGGAAAATCTATTCTGTTTTTCTACACTGTGTTTTTATTTTTTGAAGTGGTAATTAATGACGTGAAATGTAGCAGACTGACCAGACCAGAGGCTGAAGTGCTTTTCATCCTTAGTGAGAAACAAAAAGGGTAAATGAGCTGATTTAAAGGTATCAGTTCAAATTACCAAGAGACTAATTCTGTACTTGGTTCTTGCACTGATTTCTTTGATGTCCTTTGGGCAAACACTTGATTTCTCTGTTTCCTAGCTTTCACCATGCTAATAGTAAATCATGCTGTTGTCTCCCAAAAGAGGAAGAACACTACCAGTTTTTGAGTCTTTTCATAATGAAATGTGTGTTATTCACAACCATGCATTTTATCGTAAAGTCAGCCCAAGAATAATTTCTATCCAGGTGTCTCAGAAAACACCTTTAAGAGTAGATAATAGATTTAGTCATTGTCCTAGTGTTTCTTTACAGTACCTTTACTCCTGAGTGTTGCCTATTTAATTTACTCATAGCTGCAAAGCCAGTAGGATTTGGCTGGAGGCACTTCATTATTGGATAGTTGCTCTAGCAGAGCCACAGTACTACAGCCAGCTCCAGAATGCACAACCTTTGCATTCAGACTGCCTTGCTCCGGATCATTTAGGCAGTTTCTTGAAGTAGTTTGCTACTGCTCTTGAACATCAAGAATTACACTGAAGTCAAAAATACCTATGACTAAATCTAATTTTAAAAGTTATAAACCAAGACTTTACCTTGACATAGACACCCTCGTGTGTTTTTCAACTTCAGTTCTTGCCAATAATCTTTTCACTTAACTGGTGTAACTAGTTTGTAACTAGATGCCCGCCATCAGCCATGTAAACTGTGTTCACTGATGAAGTGCAATAAGAAGGGAGGACTCAGTAGCACATCATCTGTTTATGTTTCTTCAGTTTTCCCTCCTTTGCTTCATAGTAAAATCTCTCTCCAGCAGTTCCCATACTAATAATGACCTTGATAACACACTGTACTTGCTTGAAAGAGTTAGAAGAAAAAATCAGGGTTTTTGTTTGAGTTTGTGAAAACATACTTGAAAAATTGTTCTGCTTTAAGTTATTTCTGCCCTTTCTGCATACATATGCAGTAAGGTAGCAGCAAAGAGCAGGAGCCAGACAAGATGTTCTAAACAATTGCCATCTGGGAGACACCACCAGACAGCTGCAAGCAAAGGGTAGGTACTTCCAGAGTTTGCTAACAGAGAAGAGAGTCTCTTATGAAAAGGAGGAAAGAAGGGAATGGAAAGGTCATACTTACCTTTGCAGTCTTTGCATTAATCAAAATTTGTGGAAGAGTAGAATGCATCAGCTTAACTGACCAAAAAACCAAAAAAGCCAATAAAAGTAATTTATATTGCCTGTACACATACTATAATCCTCACAATGGGAAGCCAGGGACACCAAGACACTCATTTTTCATATGCCTAATAGAAACTCAGGCACACTTTGTTCGATATGCAAACTTCATGAACCTTCACCAAGTCTAGTGTAAATAGCTTCCTTACTTTCTTCTACTGGGTAAATTTGATCTGAACTTGTCAGGTCCTGTAACATTTAAATGGAATAATAACTTCAATTTCAGATGAACTAAAAGAAATAAAAACAAAATTCTGCTTCATGATGGAAAATGTCAAAATTTACAGACACTACTTTAGTACCAACAGTATTAATGTTGTGATACTCATGCAAGAAATGTATGGGTCAGATTTCCTT